GGACCCATTCTACAACATTACTAACGTTAACGTTGAAGATATGGCATTGGTGCATAGACAGAGGCATACATTTGATGGCCATTCATCTGCCAGGAGTTCAAAATGTACTAGCAGACGACCTAAGCAGGTCACCTTTACAACACCACGAATGGATGCTGAACAAGGAAGTGACATCGCTTCTGTTTCGAGCATGGGGCTGGCCGCAGATAGACCTCTTTGCATCACCGGAGAACGCGCAATGCGAGATGTTTTGCGCACGGCTGAGTCGGACAGCACTGTGCAATTGTCTGGGGGATGCATTCCTGCAGGACTGGGGGAGCACAACAGTTTATGCTTTTCCCCCAATTCCTCTGCTGCTACGTGTAGTGTCGAAACTGTTCCAAGACAAAGCTCAAGGAATTTTAGTAGCCCCATGGTGGCCTCGGCAACCTTGGTTTTCCCTGCTGCTGCAAATGTCACGAAGAGTATACATGCGTCTCCCAGACAGGAAGGACCTTCTAGCAACCCAGAACAATTTGGTCCTTTACCCAGATGTTCAGACCCTGAAACTGACGGCTTGGAGAATATTTCCAAGTCAATAGCTACTAATGTTATTCTGTCTCAATCAGTACAAGCAGTTTTAGACGCTGCTCATAGGCGATCAACAAAGAGATCGTACACTTATAAATGGGCACGGTTCACAAAATTTGTCCAGGAGAGGGGTGTAGAACCAATTAAAGCGCCCACTTCGTTAATTTTGGATTTTTTGATGTCCTTAATGGATTCGGGCCTTTCAGTCTCATCATTAAAATGTTATCTTGCAGCTTTATCCTGGTATAGGAGAAAGGCTGGTTTGACATCTTGTTTCAAAGATCCGCTAATTTCTTGGTTTTTAAAGGGGGCAAAGAATATAAGGCCTGCAGTTTCCCCAGTAGCCCCTCCGTGGAGCTTAGAAGTAGTGCTCACGGCTTTAACAAAACATCCTTTTGAACCGATGTCATCAACAGATATTTCCTTTGTGTCGTGGAAAACGGCCTTTTTGGTAGCAATAACATCGGCTAGGAGAGTAGGTGAACTTTGTGCACTACGGTGCGATGATCCGTATATGCGGATACATAAGGATAGAGTGGTTCTTAGGACAGATGTGGCTTTTTTGCCAAAGGTGGCTAGTACTTTTCATATGTCTCAAGAGATTGTTTTGCCAGCTTTTTTCCAAAATCCTACGACACCTTTAGAAAAAACGTTGCATTTATCGGATGTTCGTAGAGCATTAGCTTACTATGTAGATAGGACAGCTGAGTCACGGAAGTCGCCAAGATTGTTTGTTACTTATCGGAAAGATACTATAGGTTTGCCAGTATCGTCGCAGCGACTTTCAAAGTGGGTTGTATTGGCTATTCGTATGGCTTACCGTAATTCTGGGAAAGTTTTACCGTTACAGGTTAAGGCGCATTCAACAAGAGCAGTTGCCACGACAACAGCCTTCATGAAAGGGGTCCCGATCGATGCAGTGTGTAGAGCGGCGACCTGGTCTACGCCTTTGACTTTTGTGAAACACTACAAGCTTGATATATTGTCTAAGAAAGATGCTGCCTTCGGGAGAGCGGTTCTGTTTTCAGCTGTGGCATGACGCCCACCGTCCAAGGTTAGCAGCTCGCTAGTCTATTACCATAGGTGCAAATCACAGGTGGTCACGAGGGGAAAGTGAAGGTTGCTTACCTGTAAACGTGTTTTCCCGAGTGACCACCTGTGGATTTGCACAGCCCGCCCAACCTCCCCGCTACGTCATGCCTCAGGACTTCTGTCTGCTTAATGCGGCGGAAGAACTGACCGTTAGCTCCATTTGGGGCTATTTATGTGCTCGGAGGTGGGCGTGGCTTAGCTAACGGTTTAAGAGAGTCTCGAGAATGTCCGATGCTGTCTGCGCGTGCGCAGGAATTACTATAGGTGCAAATCCACAGGTGGTCACTCGGGAAAACACGTTTACAGGTAAGCAACCTTCACTTCCCAATCACTCATAGCTATTGGTCTTTTGAAATTTTCAGCCCATTTCAACATACAGTTTTTTATCAGCTCCCCTCTGTTGACCATTTCAGCAGCTTATTGTATAGTTTTGATATGCATTTTGATTCTGTGTTCAGAAATTTATCCCAAAATTCTTCTTTGATTTGAAACCCTTGCTTTATATCTAAATTGTAGTATTCTTTAATTGGTAAATATTGCAAGCAAGTGATATTTGGAAATCTTTCTTTTCTCTCTTCATGTGTTTTCAGTTCTGATGAGTCTTTGACCAGGAGTTCTTTATAGATGGGCCATTTTGCCCACCCTAAGAGTCTTTTTTTGTTTAGCTTCCAGCGGGGAAACCCAAAGTGGAGTTTTTGTATAAAAGTATCTCTTATATCAGCGGTTCTCAACCTGGGGGTCATGACCCCCAGAGGGGTCGTTGGGCCATTTTCGGGGGGTCGCGAAGCTACCTTGGTTAGCTCCGCCCCCTCCAAAATGGCTGCCGGCCCCCTGTGCCAGACAAAAAGCTAGAACTCCTGGTCAGCCCCTCCGCCCGCCCCCTGCGCCTTTCCCATCTCGGAAGGGCGCGGGAGCCAGGCGGAGAACTGCCCAAACGGCAAGGTCGTGCGGGCAGCCTTTCTGCCCGGCCCTCGCTATTTGTGCTGGAGATCAGAATGCTCCTTGATGGCAGGGGAGCTATACATCCCAGTAGCTCCCAAATGCCAAGGTCTATTTTCCCCAAACCTCTCCAGTATTTTCTGTTGGTAATGGGAGTTCTGTGTGCCAAGTTTGGTTCAATTCCATTGTTGGAGTTCAGAATGCTCTTTGATGACAGGGGAACTATACATCCCAGCAACTGCAACTCCCACATGTCAAGATCTGTTTTCTCCAAACTCCACCAGTGCTCATATTTGGGCATATTGAGTATTTGTACCAAGTTTGGTCCAAATGCACACTCGTTTGGGTTCACAGTGCTGTCCGTATTGTAGGTGAACTACATCTCCCTTAAATCATTGTCTATTCCTCCCAGCCCCCTCCAGTATTTTCTGTTGGTCATTGGGGTTCTGTGAGGAGCCAAGCTGCTTTTTCATATTGGAATTCGTGTAAGTCGATCCTTGTGTTTTGGGTGTTTTTCATTCTGTCCTTTCTTGAAAGTGTGAATCACTTTGTGTCTTGTCGTCTAAGCAGAATGCAAACATCACGACAACAGGCTGCTCCTACTCTGAGTAGAGCTGCCTTTGTTCCCTGGGTCCTTGTGAGAAAGGGGGGGGGGCAATGCCTGAAGAGGTGAATAACGTTTGCATGCAGGGCGTGATCCGTGTGCTGGCGCCCTGCCAGTACGCGCACAAGCTGGCCTTCCTGGTCGAGCAGAGCATCCACCGGGAGCCCAACCTGGCCGAGAACCTCTACTACCTGTGAGGAGGACAAAGAGGAAGATTCCCCCAGGCTCAGCCAGGCCTTCAAATGCTAATGAAGGTGGTCAGTTGAAACATTCACACCCAGCTCCAGCAGAGAAGAGCTCTTTGCCCCACCCCAGTCATTCCACAGATATATAAACCCATTGTTCCTAATTCCAACAGACCTCACTACCTCTGAGGATGCTTGCCATAGATGCAGGCGAAACGTCAGGAGAAAATGCTTCTAGAATATGGCCCTATAGCCCAAAAAAACCCACAAGAACCTAGTGAGTGGTAATGACTATAGGAACGGAACAACGGAAAATGATATTGGATTGTGGTTTGGACGATGAGACGACGCGGAATGGTTTTCGTAGTAATGATGTTGTTTTTGTATAATGCTGGGTTGTGAATTGTTTTTATACTGTGTCTTGAATTTTGTTGTTTCCTATGTTGTACACCGCTGTGAGTCGCCCCCGGGCTGAGAACAGCGGTATATAAGTAAAGTAAAGTAAAGTAAAAAGGAAAGTTAAAGTAAAGGTAAAGTAAAGGTAAGGTAAAGGTAAAGTAAAGGTAAAGTGTCTAGATCTAAGGAAGTAATGCTACCCCTCTATTCTGTTTTGGTTAGACCACACCTGGAATATTGTGTCCAATTCTGGACACCACAATTCAAGAGAGATATTGACAAGCTGGAATGTGTCCAGAGGAGGGCGACTAAAATGATCAAGGGTCTGGAGAACAAGCCCTATGAGGAGCGGCTTAAAGAGCTGGGCATGTTTAGCCTGAAGAAGAGAAGGCTGAGAGGAGATATGTGATAGCCATGTATAAATATGTGAGAGGAAGCCACAGGGAGGAGGGAGCAAGCTTGTTTTCTGCTTCCCTGGAGACTAGGACGCAATGGACAATGGCTTCAAACTACAAGAGAGGAGATTCCATCTGAACATGAGGAAGAACTTCCTGACTGGGAGAGCCGTTCAGCAGTGGAACTCTCTGCCTTCCCCGGAGTGTGGTGGAGGCTCCTTCTTTGGAAGCTTTTAAGCAGAGGCTGGATGGCCATCTGTCAGGGGTGATTTGAATGCAATATTCCTGCTTCTTGGCAGAATGGGGTTGGACTGGATGATGGCCCATGAGGTCTCTTCCAACTCTTTGATTCTATGAAAGTAAAGTAAAGTAAAGTTAAGGTAAAGTAAAGTTAAAGTAAAGGTAAAGTAAAGTAAAATAGATAGATAAGTAAAAGTAAAGTAAAAGTAAAATAAATAGATAAATAGATAGATAGTGATTCCAGCCATGAAAGCCACAATAAAACTAGGTTGCAGTTCCCCGCCACGCCGCCAGGGGGCGCTCCGAACCTGACCAATGAGGAGCCTGGACCCACCTCCCCCCTTGACAGGCACACGTGCACAGCGGGGTTTGCGAGGAAGTGACGTAATAATGGGAGCGCCCAGAACCAGTTTCCTTCCCTTCCGTTTTCCGCTTCTGCCGAAGGACGGCGAGCGCCCCCTGCCGGCAGAGCGGCGCTTTCGGGCCGGGCCTCGTCAGCCAATGGGAGAAGCGGACGTGGGAAGGGGCGGCGCCACCCCGAGAGTCCAGCCTGGGGATTGGCCGAGGGGCGGGAGGAGCGAAGGCAGCGCAGTGCGCAGGCGCGGCCTGGTCCCGGAAGGAGGATGGTGGTGCGGCGAGTGCTGCTGGCGCTGCTGAGTGACCCTCGCTTGCAGGAGCGCCTGGCGGGGGCGCGCCCCATCCGAGCGGCGGCGCGCCTGGCCGCCTCGGCCCTCACCCGCGGACTGCGCCTGCGCAACGCCTTCCTGCGCGAGCTCCGCGAGGAGGCCCACCGGGCCCAGTGGGGACAGCGCCCCGGAGGAGGAGGGAAGAAGAAGGGAGCCTGACCCAGGCAAGACTCGCCCCGAGTGGGAAGGAAGGAAGGAAGGAGGGAAGGAGCGCCTGAATCCCGGCCTCTTAACAAGCCAGGCCGCAGGACCAGCCGCCGCGCATGCGCACGAAGAGGAGGAGGAGGAGCCTGGGAGTTGGAGCAGCATCGCCCCGGTTGGGCAGCAGAGGGCGCTGTTGCTGGAGGCCGGCCCACTGGGATGGGACTCAGAACAAGGACCACTCTTGCCAGTGTTTATATATAGACTCGCTGTCCTCTGCCAGGCGTTGCTGTGGCCCTCAGAAAACACAGGATTTGCAGCCCTGAAGCCGACTGGCCTAGGGAACCCCTCCCAGCAATGGTTTCCTGCTGGCTGGCAGAAGCCAGGCTGTTAGGGGGGGGGGGGGGGCAAGTTGGTATGGAAAATAAAGGAATGCAAAGCAGCCACTGAAGCTGCGAGGCTCGTTTCCAGTGATGTCCATGCTGGCCAAAACACTCCAGAAAGCCTCTTTGGAACAGAGGCAGGGTGGCCATCTCCTGGGGGTGCTTTGAATGTGATGTTCTTGCTTATTCGCCTCTTTGGAACAGAGGCTGGGTGGCCATCTCTTGGGGGTGCTTTGAACGCGATTTTCCTGCTTCTTCAGAGAATGGGGCTGGCCTGGATAGCCCACCAATGTCTCCCAGCTCTTGTTGTTCATTTGTTCAGTCATCTCCGACTCTTCGTGACCTCATGGACCAGCCCACGCCAGTGCTCCCTGTCGGCCGTCACCACCCCCAGCTCCTTCAAGGTCAGTCCAGTCACTTCAAGGATGCCATCCAGGGCTGTCGCAGAAAAATAATTCGGGGAGAGTTGACACTTTCCGGGGGGGGGGTTTGAAAATTTGGGGGGGGGGTTGAAACCTGCCTCCTAGCTCACGCTGAAGCAAAGAGCACAGCAGGGGGCAGAGCAGCCTTCAATAGCCTGCAGCTCCGCCCCTGTCAACCACCTCCACCAAGTCTGGCCTCCTTAATGAAAGCATTCAACACACACACCCCCAACTTGGTTGCTTCACTACATCGGCTATTGCTGCAAGTAATGACAGTGTGAATAAATTGTCAATATTTGCTTGAGATAGTGCTTAAAGTTCTGGAGGGACTCTTAATTTTTTGCATCTCATAGACTTAGCATGGGGATTTGGTTAACCAGTTAAAATTCATGAGTAAACCAGGTTTTTTTTAAAAAAATCTGAAACATTTGGGGGGGGGGAGGTTTGAACCCCTAAAACCACCCCCTCGCTACAGGCCTGATGCCATCCATTATTTATTTATTTACTTCTTTTGTATACCGCAAATATCAGCCTGCAAAGGCGACTCCATCTTGCCCTTGGTTGGCCCCTCTTCCTTTTACCTTCCACTTTCCCCAGCATCATTCCCTTCTCTAGGCTTTGCTCCCAACTCTAGGGCTCTCTGATTTGATATTCTTTTCCCTTCACCAGTTTCCCTCTTTCTTTCTTTCTTTCTTTGTTTGTTCCTTACTGCCTCCTTTCTCTTCCTTCCTCTTTCTTTCCTTCTACCTTTCCTTCCATTCATAATCTTCTCTTCACCAATCCTTTTCTTCCTTTCTTCTCTCCTTTCCCTTTCTTTCCCCTCCTTCCTCCGGGACAGTTTGTAAGGGTTTTTTGGGGGGGGGGAGGGGGGATGTGGAGCCCAAGCAGGAGAGTTGCTGGCCTTCTCATGGTTCACATCCTCCCTTCACCCAATTGGGGGGGGGGGTCAGTTCCTGCAGCCAGGTTTGCCTTGAAATCCTCTGGTCTTGGGGAAAGACTTACCTGATAGCCACGTGGGCCTCATGGAGCTGCTTCGGTGGCTCCAGCTGCTGCCAGGGCTTGCCTCACCAAGCCTCCATGCCCTCCATGGGGCCAGGCCTTCTCCTTCCTTCCCTTTTTCCTTTCCTCAATTCCTCCCCTCCCCAAAAGAAAATGGACTCTGACTTCTTGCATGGAAAGGGACTCCATGGCGAGGCTCTGCTTCCCTCACAACAGTTGGTGCTTCATTCTTCTCGTGCAAATGGGGAGGGGGGCTTTTGCGCATTCTCTGTAAGGCAAGTTTCTTTTTGGGGAGTTTAAAGTTATTTCCCCTTCATTTTTATGGGGGTTTTTTTGTTTGGGAGACATAGATCAGATTAGAATGTGTTTTGCTGCCAAATTTGGTGTCAATTCGTCCAGTGGTTTTTGAGTTCTGTTAATCCCACAAACGAACATCACATTTTTATTTATATAGATATAATAATAGGTATGTGCTTTGGGCCCACGATGGCACCGTGCGTTAAACCGCTGAGCTGCTAAACTTGTTCACCAAAAGGTTGCAAGTTTGAATCGGGATCGTGGTGAGCTCCCGTCGTTAGCCCCAGCTTCTGCCAACCTAGCAGTTCAAAAACATGCAGATGTAAGTAGATCAATAGGTACCGCTTTGGCGGGAAGGAAATGGTGCGCCATGCAGTCATGCCAGTGGCCACAGGACCTTGGAGGTATCTGGCTCTTCGGCTTAGAAATGGAGATGACCACCCGAGTCCCAGAGCTGGACATGACTGGACCTCGTGTCAGTGGGAAACCTTTACTATGTGCTTTGGACAGGCTAAGGAAGGTCGCGCACCTGGTGGGGTTTCCTGGGCTGCCTGTGTCCTGTTCAGAAGAGCCTCCCTCCCTCCCTGTCCCCACGAGAATTGGCATTTGGGGACGGAGCTTGTGGGGGATTGGGGGCGAGGGGCCCTCCTGCACAGCCCCCTGTCCCGGAATACCAGGGCAGGAAACCCCACAGGATCTGCTTTGAACTGGAATAATAGAGGGCAGTGTGGACTTAAGATAACCCAGCTCAAAGCAGAGATGGTGGGGTTTCCTGCCTTGGTATTCTGGGAGAAGGGGCTCAAGCAGGGTTCCCAAACTCTGGCCCTTGAGGGAGTTTGGACTTTGACTCCCAGAAGCCGGCAATAGTATGATAGCTGGGTCCAAAGCTCCAAGCGTTACACTCCTTCGTGAGCGCTCTTTGCACAACGCAGAAGGGCACACGTCCCGGAATGTAAGAGTTCTTTAATGGTATAACCCTAACGCAAACCCTAAACCTTATCCTAACCCTCCCCTCCTGTCTTTCCTTCCACCAAATGCAACTACGAAGTATATTCCCACCCTCCTCAGTGTGTCGCTCTCCCTTATTCAGAGCCGCCATTGCGGAATGTGTGTGGCTCTCGGAGCTGCTGGACCTTGCTCTCATCCTCCCATCCAGAAGCCTCAGCTGCCTTAGACAACGATCAGGGAACGTGGGAGCCAAAGTCCAAAGCATCTGGAAGAGCCAAGTTTGGGAAACATTGGTCTGGAGCTTCAGTAATATAATAATAGTAATAATAAACCTTTATTTGTACCCCGCTACCATCTCCCGAAGGACTTGGTGCAGCTTATAATAATAATAATAATAATAATAATAATAATAATAATCCTTTATTTATACCCCACTACCATCTCCCGCAGGGCCAAGCACAAATACATCATAAAACAGAACAAAACAACAATAAATAACTCATAAAAGCAAAAAACAATACAATAATAACACAATGCATTTTAAAAACCTGTGGCAGGGCCAAATGTAAGAATTAAAATTTTTAAAATGCTGGGTATGTCCAAGGGAAATAGGAGGGATATTTTTGGGATAGGTGGGCGTGCAGAATTTCCGGGCCGTTTTCAAGGGCAGCCCCACGTAGAGTGCATTACAGTAATCCAATCTGGAGGTGACTAAGGCATGGAGCACCCTGGCCAGATCCGCCTTCACGAGGCCGAGCCCAAATACAATAGTACAAACAGCAGCAACAACAGTGGAGCCCCCTTTCCCCCTGGTCATGACCCCCAGGCGTGGATCTCCCTTTCTTCCAAGGGAGAGGCTCCTCCCACTTCCTGCTGCCTCCCCCTGTTCTCAACTAGGAGTCGTTTGTAACTCAGAGAGTGCCTGTCTTAGCGTGTAATCCTGGGCAGTGTTTGCCATTGGATGCATGCAGCTGTCCCCCTGCATTCCCAATCCTGATCTGCCCGCAAGAGGGGCCTCAAGGAGGGAGGGGGGAGACCATGGAGACCCTTCCCAGAGCAGGCCTCATGCCCCACAGCAGGGTGGGTGGGTGCACCCCTCGGAGCCCCCTCACCTCCACTTCTGGGAATAGGCCCTTCCCAGTGGCTGCTGCTGAGCCCCCACCCCACCCACCCCGTTCCTTTGGGGCAGAGAAGGCACGCTCACTTCCACCCAGGGCCACGTCAGCCTTAGGGTTGCCTTCAAAGGGCTGCTGAATCCACAGGTGGGGAATCCATGCAGGTAGTGGGACAGATATCTCTCGGTGCTCCTTAGTTTTTACCCAGTTTGGCTCCCCAAACATGATTGAATGGCAGCTCACACCCCTTTGGATGATGTGTCATGTGTACTGGAGAGCATGGGAATTGACAAACAACAGCCTTTGCGGCTGAGGGGTTGCGGAGAGGCAATGCAGGTCCCTCTCCTGATGAAACAGAGCCAACTGCAGCCTTCCGGGCGTCATTGCATCCCGACTCCCATCCACTCTCGTCATGGTGTCGAATGATGAGGAAGGCAGTTGTCATCGTCCACCATCTGGAGATGGGCCACATTTAATGTCCCTCTGGGTGGTTTTAGCCTGCAGGCCTTGCGTTTCCCAACCTGGGGGTCGGGACCCCTGTCAGAGGAGTCACCAAAGAATATCAGAAAACACAGTACTTTTTGTTGCTCGTGGAGCTTCTGTGTGGGAAATTTGGCCCAATTCTATCGTTGGTGGGGTTCAGAATGCCCTTTGATTGTAGGTGAACTATAAATCCCAGCAGCTACAACTCCCAAATGTGAAGGTCTGTTTCCCCCGAACTCCACCAGTGTTTACATTTGGGCATATTGAGCATTCGTGCCAAATTTGGTCCACATTCATAATCGTTTAAGTCCACAGTGCTCTCTAGATGTAGGTGAACTACAATGCCAAAACTCAAGGACACTGCCCACCAAATCCTTCCAGTATTATCTGTTGGTTCTGTGTTCCAAGTTTGGTTCAATTCTATCGTTGGTGGTGTTCAGAATGCTCTGTGATTGTAGGTGAACTATAAATCCCAGTAACTACAACTCCCAAATGTCAAGGTCTATTTCCCCCAAACTCCATCTATGTTCATATTTGGGCGCATTGAGTACTTGTGCCAAGTTTAATCCAAATCAATAATTGTTTGAGTCCACAGTGCTCTCCGGATGTAGGTGAACTACAACTCCAGAACTCAAGGTCAATGCCCACCGAACCTCTCCAGTATTTTCTATTGGTCATGAGGGTTCTGTGTGCCAAGTTTAATTTAATTCCATCATTGGTGGAATTCATAATGATCTTTGATTGTAGGTGAACTATAAATCCCAGCAGCTACAACTCCCAAATGTCAAGGTCTATTTTCCCCAAATTCCACCAGTGTTCAGATTTGGGCATATTGAGTATTTGTGCCAAGTTTGGTCCAGATCTATCATTATTTGAGTCCACGGTGCTCTTTGATGTAGGTGAACTACAACTCCCAAACTCAAGTCCAATGCCCACCAAACTCATCCTGTATTTTCTGTTGGTCATGGGAGTCCTGTGTGGGAAGTTTGGCCCAATTCTATCGTTGGTGGTGTTCAGAATGCTCTTTGATTGTAGGTGAACTATAAATCCCAACAAGTACAACTCCCAAATGACAAAATCAACACACACACACCCCAACACCGCCAGTATTCAAATCGGGGCATATCAGGTATTCATACCAAATGTGGCCCAGTGAATGAAAATCCATCTTGCATCTCAGATATTTACATTATGATTCATAACAGGAGCGAAATGACAGTTGTGAAGCAGCAACAAAAATAATTTTATATTTGCAAGTCACCACAACATGAAGAAGGGTTGCGGCATGAGGAATGTTGAGAAACACTGCTTTAGGCAAAGACCCTGATTCTGGCCAACCGGCCTTCCCATTTGGGGGTTTTGGGGGGGGGGGGGAGGTTTATTTATTTATATAAGGCAGAATCAGATCCCATATTTTTACAGATCAATAGACCTAATAGTTGTGATGGCAAATACCCCTCAATTTTGTTCTGTAGGCTCTTCAGAAAATATAGCTTTAGTTTTACAAAGTGCCGGAGTCTTCATGTAGAAAGGAGAACGGATATGGACTTGACCATATATGGGAAACAAAGACGGGTTTTGGTGCCAAAGAGAAGTTTTTTGTGCAAGGGTGAAGTATCGGTCAAGAGACATGCTGACCTTGCAAAGAGGAACTCGCCAAATAAGCAGCTGTCTCCAGCTGTATTCAGCATCTTGAGATGTTTCCAAAAAGGGGTTTGCTTATTGGGAAACGAAACTTAAAAATATATGATCTAATTGCTTAACATAAATATAAGATTGACAGCTCTTTTAACCAATGATTTAATCTTTGGGGCGGCTCTTAAAGCCGAACCCCTTTGTATGTATAAAAGAAACCCTAACCCTTTGTGCTGGGTGACTTCCCCCAGAGACGCCTTGTTGCGTCGGAAAGTCAACTAGCAGCTGCTATATAAATAAATAAACTTTGATATTCTTGCTGAACCCAGTTGGCTGTTTTTCCTGACTCATCTGCGTCCGCAACTGAACTGAAACGGAGCATTTTTGGCTGAGCTCCTGAGCAATTGCTCAGGGGAAGGAAAAAGCCTGCTTCAATTTACCACACTTTTATTCCGCCCTTTTCAGCCCGAAGGTTGTGGGTTCTTTGTGTGGCATTGAAACTTCAGGCTGAGAAGGGCGGGTATCTCTTCGATCATCCGGAGAGTCCCTGCTCGCGATCCCACCTGCATCGCAAGCGCAATTGGTGGGGACGAGGGACAGGGCCTTCTTGGTGGTGGCCCCTCGACTCTGGAACTCGGTCCCCAAGGACATCAGGCATGCTCCAACGCTGGCAGTCTTTAGGAGGAGCTTGAAAACGTGGCTGTTCCAGTGTGCCTTCCCAGAATAAGGAAACTCCAAGCGATATGTCCCTAAATGCACTTTACTAGAGATCTAGAATTGCCTGCAAGCCCCACCTATCCCCAAAATATCTATCCTATTTCACCTGATCATGCCCAGCACTTTTAAAGATTTTAAGTATTACATTTGGCCCTGCCACAGGTTTTAATGCGTCGCGGTGTTATTGTTTATGTTTTTTGCTTTGGTTATGAGTTTTTATTATTATTATTATTATTATTATTATTGTATTGTTGTTGTGTTTTATTGATGTATTGTGGGCTCGGCCTCTTGGGAGATGGTAGTGGGGTATAAATAAAGGTTTATTATTGTTGTTATAAATATAGTAAATAAATTAAGGAGCAGCAAAGAAGGGGCCCAGGCGGGGGGTGCGTTACACTATGCAACACGGTTTTTGTTCCTGGATTATAAAGGTAATTTCCTCATTGATTCTACGATAAAAGCAGGGAAACGGTTTATTAAACTGCAAGAACTTTGCTTCAGCAGGAAGGGCGCCCCACAGCATATTTGCCCCATTGAGCCCCAACCCATTCAGCATGGCTTCCATCAGCCACAAAAGCGAAGGTTCTGGAGTAGAACAACTACTCAACTACTTCCAAAGTAAAGACTGCACAAGGAAAGAGGAAATGACACTTGCAAACCAGGAGCAGGACTTATTTTTTCCAATTTTGTTACATAGGGTTATTTAATTATGTCGCTTTCTCTCTTAAGAGACCCAAAATGCAAGCACTTTGCAATGCAATGCACTTTGGGTCTCTTAAGAGAGAAAAGCGACGTATAAATAACCTTGTGGGCCATCCAGTCCAACCCATTCTTCCAAGAAGCAGGAAAATCGCCTTCAAAGCACCCCCAGCAGATGGCCATCCAGCCTCTGCTTCAAAGCCTCCAAAGAAGGAGCCTCCACCACACCCCAGGGCAGAGAGTTCCACTGGTGAACAGCTCTCACAGTCAGGAAGTTTTTCTTAATGTTCAAGTGGAATCTGAGTACCCCGCCCTTGCACATCATGGGACTCCCCTATTGTTGTTGTTGTTTGTTGTTGTATTTGGGCTCGGCCTCGTGTAAGCCGCACCGAGTCCTTCGGAAGATGCTAAAGGTAAAGGTAGTCCCCTGACATTACGTCCAGTCATGTCTGACTCTGGGACTCTGGTGCTCATCTCCATTTCTAAGCCGAAGAGCCAGCGTTGTCCGTAGACACCTCCAAGGTCATGTGGCCGGCATGACTACATGGAGCGCCGTTGGTAGCGGGGTACAAATTAATGGAAGATGGTAGCGGGGTACAAATTAAGTATTGTTATTATTATTATTATTATTATTATTATTATTATTATTATTCTCTTCCTCTCTCCCCAAAACAGTCCCCTTCTAGGTACCGTGTGCAGAAACCAATGCTGGAGAGCGTAGCTTTGTCTAAGTGCCTATAAAACGGAGTCAAGCCTTGCCTCTGGCCTACTCCTCTCCTTTGGTGTGGTTAGAGTCCCTGGGAAAGTTACTCGGGTGTAAGGGGCATTCCTAGTTCTTTAGGCAGACCCCCCCCCCCCCCATGCTGTTACTGAAGAAGGCTGAAAATGGGGGGGGGGGGTCTTGCAAGGGCTCTGGGTGCGGCCAAATGAAGCTTTATTCAACGTGCGCTCTGCGTCAGAAGCGGGGCCAGAGTTGTCCAGGAACAGCAGGGATTCCTTTGGCCCGGGTAAGGCTTCCCAGGAGCAACACCCTGGCAGTCCAGGCAAGGTCTTGGGTGGCAGGCGGATCTCCTTCTGTGAGGGCTTCCAAGCCCAGGACCTTCAGAAAAGCCAAGGGAGCCTCATCCATGGATGGGGAGAGAGCAGGAAGGAAGGCCAGCCTCCCTCGCCAGCCGGCCAGTCCGTGCCATTGGGTTGCCTCCTGGCCCCAAGGTCACACACAGAGCCATTGAGCGAAAGCCAGGCTTGGCAGCAGGAGCAGCAGAGGAAGGAGGTCCGGGGTGCCGGCCGCTGGAATGGAAGAGGCAAGGTCAGGCCCTAGGCTACACCGCACCCCCAAACGCCTGCCTCCCCCCGCCTTGCCCTTCACCCCGAAAAGAGGTCAGTCTGGGGGCTCACCAGAGGAGTGGGGCGCTGCCGAGTCAGGCTCAAGGCTACACCGTACCCCAATGCCTGCCTCCCGCCTTGCCCTTCACCCCGAAAAGAGGTCAGTCTGGGGGCTCACCAGAGGAGTGGGGCGCTGCGGAGTCAGGCTCAAGGCTACACCGTACCCCAATGCCTGCCTCCCGCCTTGCCCTTCACCCCGAGAAGGGGCCAGTCTGGGGGCTCACCATAGGAGTGGGGTGGGGGCTCCCCAGGATCTCTCTCTCTCTCTCTCTCCTGCTGCTGAGCCCAATGCTCTTTGCCCACCCGCCTCTCCTCCGCCCTTGCTCCCTTTCTGCTTTGGGAATTGCAGCCTCCCTCTGAGGTGGGCCCATGACAGCAAGGGGAAGGGGGCACAGGGCAGTGGGTCCAGCTGGCTTTGGCCTCACGCTCTGTCCACTGTGTCCCCCTCCCCCCTCTTCTCTGGTGCCTTCGGTCCCGTCCTCCTTCCACACAAGAGACACTCCTACAAAGGCAACCAGTTGCGCTTCCCAGTCAGATCCCAACCCCTTCTGTTTCGGAAGACAGTGTGGGCCTCTGCCTTGAATCCTAAACCCAGGTTGTGGGCAAGGACGTTGCCATGCCCAGCCCTCGAAAAGGCCTCTTCCCGGGATTGTGGCACAGCTGGCTGAGTGTCAGCTGCATTAAGATCACTCTGACCCAAAAAAGGTCATGAGTTTGAAGCCAGCCCGGGTTGGAGTGGGTTTCCAACCAATTGTGTGTAGCCTGTTGTCGACCTTTGCAACCCGAAAGACAGTTGCATCTGTCCAGTAGGAAAATTAGGTACCACCTTAAAGTGTGGGGAGGCTAAATTAACTGATTTATGAGGCCATAAAGAAGACTACAGCAAAGCATTCCAGCGGGGAAGCATGCGGGGAATGCGGAAAGTACTTCATCAGCATTGCAGATGGACAATGAAAGCGATAGCTCCCCTGGCAGCCAGAAAAGTTAAATAGCCTCTGTATATGTTTGTATGTCAAAATTGGCATTGAATGTTTGCCATATATGTCTACACTGTAATCCGCCCTGAGTCCCCTGCGGGGTGAGGAGAAGGGCGGAATAGAAAAGCTGCAAATAAATAAATAAATAAAAAAATTCCCCAATACTGTACATTTAGGAAGCCCATGCCCCTGACAGATGTGAACTTGGAGGGTCTGCTAGGTGGGCCTCCATGCCCACGTCCTTTTCTTGAAAACTGGCAGGTGCTTGTCTACTCTGAGAGATGGGAGGCAAGGAACTCTCACAGCTGCTTTCTCTTGGGAACAAAGCCTGGGAGCTCAGGAAAGGCTTCACAAACACAGGCTGCATGGACACGGAAAGTCTAGGAACGGTCCCAACTGGAGGGGGGGGGCACCCAGACTCTGCAGGAGAGGGTCTGGGGCAGATGACACCCAACTACACTATTTCCGCCAGATTCCAAGGAAGCCCCTCAGATACTTGGTCACTGCCTGGGCATTTTTGCTGGTGGATTGTTTTTAATCTTGTTGGGATTTGTTGTTTGGGCGTGGCCTCATATAAGCCGCCCCGAGTCCCTGTTGGGGAGATCGTGGCAGGGTATAAATAAAGATTATTATTAGGTTCTTGTGGGTTTTTTCGGGCTATAGGGCCATGTTCTAGAGGCATTTCTCCTGACGTTTCGCCTGCATCTATGGCAAACATCCTCAGAGGTAGTGAGGTCTGTTGGAACTAGGAAAAAGGGTTTATATATCTGTGGAATGACCAGGGTGGGACAAAGGACTCTTGTCTGCTGGAGCTAGGTGTGAATGTTTCAACTGACCACCTTGATTAGCATTTAATTGCCTGGCAGTGCCTGAAATCTTTTGTTGAGAAGTGTTAAGATGTGCCTGGTTGTTTCCTCTCTATATGGCCATGGTCTAGAGGCATTTTCTCCTGACGTTTCGCCTGCATCTATGGCAAGCATCCTCAGAGGTTGTGAGGTCTGTTAGAACTAGGAAAATGGGTTTATATATCTGTGGAATGGCTGGGGTGGGGCAAAGAGCTCTTCTCTGCTGGAGCTTGGTGTGAATGTTTCAACTGACCACCTTCATTAGCATTTGAAGGCCCGGCTGAGCCTGGGTAAATCTTTTGTTGAGAGGTGTTAAGATGTGCCTGGTTGTTTCCTCTCTGCTGTTTTGCTCTTGTAATTTTAGAGTTTTTTTTAATACTGGTAGCCAGATTTTGTTCATTTTCATGGTCTCCTCCTTTCTGTTGAAATTGTCCACATGCTTGTGGATTTCAATGGCTTCTCTGTGTAGTCTGACATGGTGGTTGTGAGAGTGGTCCAGCATTTCTGTGTTCTCAAATAATATGCTGTGTCCAGGCTGGTTCATCAGGTGCTCTGCTATGGCTGACTTCTCTGGTTGAAGTAGTCTGCAGTGCCTTTTTGCAGAGTGAGCTCACAGGCTTCATTCCCAAGGATAAAGCTGTGAGGATGCTTGCCATAGATGCAGGCGAAACGTCAGGAGAAAATGCCTCTAGAACATGGCCATATAGCCCGGAAAAACCCACAAGAACCGAGTGATTCCAGCCATGAAAGCCTTCGACAAAGATTATTATTATTGTATTGTCGAAGGCTTTCATGGCCAGAATCACTGGGTTGTTGTAGGTTTTTTGGGGCTATATGGCCATGGTCTAGAGCAGGGGTCCTCAAGTTTTTTAAACAGAGGGCCAAGTCACAGCCCCTCAAACTGTTGGAGGGCCAGATTATAATTTGGAGGGGGAAAAAGAATGAATTCCTATGCACACTGCACATATCTTATTTGTAGTACAAAAAACACTTAAAAACAATACAATAATTAAAATGACGAACAATTTTAACAAATATAAACTTATGAGTATTTCAATGGGAAGTGTGGGCCTGCTTTTGGCTGATGAGATAGGATTGTTGTTGTTGTGTGCTTTCAAGCTGTTTCAGACTTAGGTTGACCCTGAGCGAGGGCCGGGTAAATGACCTTGGAGGGCCTAATCTGGCTCATGCAGTTTGAGGATACCTGGTCTAGATGCATTCTCTCCTGACGTGTTGCCTGCATCTATGGCAAGCATCCTCAGAGGTTGTGAGGTCCTCACTACCACTGAGGATGCTTGCCATAGATACAGGCAAAACGTCAGGAGAGAATGCTTCTAGAACATGGCCATATAGCCCGAAAAAACCTACAACAACCTATTATTATTATTATTATTTCCCAGAGCACCTTCCTCTGGCAGTTCTGACACAGAGGCACCTGAGGAGGATGGTCTGGGGAGGTCCTGCAAGAGGGGTGCCGGGGGGGGGGGGGGTCCTGGGGTCTCACCTGCTCCCGAGCACTGCGGAGAGGAGGAAGCGGGGAAGGCCTCCCAGCCCTCCATGGCCTCCAGGAAGGGCTGCCCCAGCCAGGCCTCGGCCGTGGTCCTCTCCCCCACGGGGACGATGGCCTTGGTGGCATCCTTGAAGATCAGGTCTTGCCCTCCGAAGGCGGAGGAATTGAACATCTGGAACCTGTCACTGCTGTTGCTGTTGCTCTCGTTGTGGACCCCAAAGAAGTCCTGGAATCCAAGAAAGGTGGATGTACGTCACACAGGGAGAGCCTTCAGCACCTTTCCTGGGGCAACGTGGAGGAGGACGTGGTGACCACATGGGCTCAAAACTGCCCTTCACCCTTTTTGTTCTGAGGGAGGATGGAAGGCTGCCCTAGTGGGGCAACACCCATGCTAGGTCACCCTGGCCCCTTCTGGTCAAGACTGACCAGTGAGGAACCCCTGGGAAGTCCATAAGGTGAGAGGAGGCCGCATTGAGAAGGAGGAAGAGGAGGGTCCCATCTTGCTTTGTGTTGCTCTGGAGACCAGGACGCAAGGAGCAAGGAATGAAATTCCACCTCAACGTTAGGAAGCACTTCCTGGTGGTCAAGGATGTGTGTGAGGGGGCCTTCAGGTCACCTCCAACCTGCCATAACTCCATAAATGTCACAGGGATTTCTTAGGCATGGAATATTCAGAAGGGGGTTGGCCAGTTCTGCCTCCTAAATATCCTCAAGGTATCAATCTCCTCTGATCTGGGTAGTGTCCAGCCTGGAGAGAGCTTGGCTGGGAGGCTATCAACAAATGTAAGTGCTGTAGGGTATATTGGGATGGAAGTCATTAGAGATACTGCTATGCAGTAGAAGGCTAGATGGCCATCTGTCAGGGGTGCTTTGGAAGTGATTGTCCTGCTTCTTGGAAGAATGGGGATGGACTGGATGATGGCCCTTGAGGTCTCTTCCAACTCTAGAATCCTAGAGTTGGAAGAGACCTCATGGGCCATCATCCAGTCCAACTCCATTCTGCCAAGAAGCAGGAATATTGCATTCAAAGAGCCCCTGACAGATGGCCATCCAGCCTCTGTTTAAAAGCTTCCAAAGAAGGAGCCTCCACCACACTCCGGGGCAGAGAGTTCCACTGCTGAAAGGCTCTCACAGTCAGGAAGTTCTTCCTCATGTTCAGGTGGAATCTCCTCTCTTGTAGTTTGAAGCCATTGTTCCATTGCGTCCTAGTCTCCAGGGAAGCAGAAAGGAAGCTTGCTCCCTCCTCCTCCCTGTGGCTTCCTCTCACGTAGTTATGCAGGGCTGCCATGTCTCAGCGTTCTCTTCTTCAGGCTAAACATGCCCAGTTCCCTAAGCCGCTCCTCATAGGGCTTGTTCTCCAGACCCTGGATCCTTTGAGTCACCCTCCTCTGGACACATTCCAGCTTGTCAATCTCTCTCTTGAATTGTGGTGCCCAGAATTGGACACAATATTCCAGATGTGGTCTAACCAAAGCGGAATAGAGCATGGGGAGCATGACTTCCATAGATCTAGACACTAGGCTCCTATTGATGCAAGCCAAAATCCCATTGGCTTTTTTTGCCGCCACATCACTTCTTTTTTTTTGTCGTGTCAGGAGCGACTTGAGAAACTGCAAGTTGTTTCTGGTGTGAAAGAATTGCCCGTCTGCAAGGACGTTGCCCAGGGGACGCCCGGATAATTTGATATTTTTATCATCCTTGTGGGAAGCTTCTCTCATGTCCATGCATGAGGAGCTGGAGCTGATAGAGGGAGCTCATCCGCCTCTCCCTGGATTCGAACCTGCAACCTGTCAGTCTTTAGTCCTGTCGACACAGGGGTTGAATCCACTGCGCCACTGGGGGCTCGCCAGATCACCTTGTTGGCTCATGTTTACCTTGCTGTCCATGTTGGACTCTAAGATTCTATGAGAGCATCACTGCAGGAATCGGGACCAGAGAAGCTTGAGGCCACCCGACCTTGAGCCTGTGGCTACTTCTCCCAAATCTCCAAAGGTTTTGTTGGAAATTAACTGGAGGGCGTTAAATGCCAGTAACTGGGAAATGCTTTTACTTTGCTTTCGCAAATCCTAGTCATGGAAATAGTTGTATTTGTTTAGTTATTTTGCATGGCATCACTGCTCCAGGCAGACTGGGAAATTGACACAGGGCGGCAGCAGGGAAGATGGTGGACCCCTTCCTGTTGTTGTTGTTTTAAGGCTGTCTCCTGCATCTGTGGAAATATTTTGCCACCTCCCACGGCTGGCCTGCGCTTCCTGGCTGGGTTCACACTGTTGGGGATGAGTCTGCTTTGAACCTAGTACACCAAAAAGTGTCTGGGGCACTTGGGTGGTGGGTCTTGCTCTAACAAGGGGGTGGACTAGATGGATCTTGGGGTCTCTTTGGGTTCCAGGGTGTTGTGGAATTGCTTCATGATATTTTAGTGTCCCCTAAATTGCTTTAAACGGCGCTCCGTGCAGTCATGCCAGTGGCCACATGACCTTGGAGGTGTCTACGGACAACGCTGGCTCTTCGGCTTAGAAATGGAGATGAGCACCACATCCCAGAGTCAGACATGACTGGACTTAATGTCAGGGGACTACCTTTACCCTTTACCTAAATTGCTTTAATGCTTGCTCATGATTGCCTTCCCAGGTGTCATGATCTCCAGCTCATGCCATAGGTAAAGGTAAAGGTAGTCCCCTGACATTCAGTCCAGTCATGTCTGACTCTGGGGTGTGGTGCTCATCTCCATTTCTAAGCCGAAGAGCCAGCGTTGTCCGTAGACACCTCCAAGGTCATGTGGCCGGCATGACTGCATGGAGCGCCCTTACCTTCCCGCCGGAGCGGTACCTATTGATCTACTCACATTTGCATGTTTTCGAACTGCTAGGTTGGCAGAAGCTAGGGCTGACAGCGGAAGCTCACGCCGCTCCCCGGAATCGAACCTGCGACCTTTTGGTCAACAAGCTCAGCAGCTCAGTGCTTTAACCCACTGCGCCACGGGAGATGAGTGTCGGGAAGGTAACGCGCTCCATGCAGTCATGCCGGCCACATGACCTTGGAGGTGTCTACGGACAACGCTGGCTCTTCGGCTTAGAAATGGAGATGAGCACCACACCCCAGAGTCAGACATGACTGGACTTAATGTCAGGGGACTACCTTTACCTTTACCTTTACCTAAATTGTTTTAATGCTTGCTCATGATGGCCTTCCCAGGTGTCATGATCTCCAGCTCATGCCATACAAGTGACACAAACCACATGGCCATGAGACATTGGGCCAAAAGGAAATGCAGGACAAACGGGGCCGCCATAAAACTCAGCTGCCAAAGGTAAGGGAGGAAATGGACTTTGAAATGGTCAAGGCACCAGGATACCTCAATGTATGATTTATGGTATGCTAGTTAGTACTATGGGAGCCCCCGGTGGCGCAGTGGGTTAAAGCACTGAGCTGCTGAGCTTGTTGATTGAAAGGTCGCAGGTTCGATTCCGGGGAGCGGCGTGAGCTTCCGCTGTCAGCCCTAGCTTCTGCCAACCTAGCAGTTCGAAAACATGCAAATGTGAGTAGATCAATAGGTACCGCTCCGGCGGGAAGGTAATGGCACTCCATGCAGTCATGCTGGCCACATGACCTTGGAGGTGTCTACGGACAACACTGGCTCTTCGGCTTAGAAATGGAGATGAGCACCACACCCCAGAGTCAGACACGACTGGTACCACTCCGGCGGGAAGGTAACTCTGCTCCATGCAGTCATGCCAGTGGCCACATGACCTTGGAGGTGTCTACGGACAACGCTGGCTCTTCGGCTTAGAAATGGAGATGAGCACCAGAGTCCCAGAGTCAGACATGACTGGACTTAATGTCAGGGGACTACCTTTACCAACCTAGTTAGTACTATCTAGGAGGCCTGTAGTTGAAGCTCTTGTATTCCGAACAATAAACGTGTGGATGTCTACTCCACTTGGGATTCTCTGCGTGGTCCTTCATAGGAGATTTCTCCAGAGCCACACCGCTTGGAACTGAGATATCTGACACCAGGGAATGTCAGATATTGGGTGGGTTGTATGAAATAAAAGCAGACGGGTTGGCCGAGAGAGGAGAGGGGCTCCTGCCTCTTTATATGGGGGTCCACCATAGAATCAAAGAGTTGGAAGAGACCTCATGGGCCATCCAGTCCAACCACCACCTCCCACCTGTCACCCTCCCAGTCCTGGGTGAACCCCCTGTCTCGAGCACTCGGCCCCTTCTTTCAGGCAGCCTCACAGCCTCCTTCTTCTGCCCACCTCGGTGGCCAGTTCTCCTGAGAAAGCAGGATGTCCAGAGAATCCTAAGGTTGGGGGGAACCCCAGGGTCCCCCAAGAAGTGACACACTCAAGGACCTCCCACCAGGTGGCCCCTTGCCCTGCCCCACCCGGCCCTCAGCGGGGTCCCCCCAGCACCTGCGCTCTGTCCAGGAGTCCGAAGAGGGCCACAGCACTGGTCTCTGGGTGGACCATGATGGCCCGTGGTGGTACTCGGCCCCAGTGGCACCCGGCAAACTGGCCCACCTCGGCACGCGCCCCGTTGGGACACAGGAGCTGGAAGTCGGCCGAGCGCAGGCGGGTGGCCCAGGGAGCGGAGTTGCGACCTGCAGGAGACACACAGGCAGAGAGAGAATGGCTGCTCACTTGGGAAGGTCCAGCGGGGTGGGGAGGCTTCCCCCCTCCTTCCCAGACCAAGGTCAAGAGGGCAAGGTACTCACCGTCAGTGTTCTCAAAGACCGAGGAGTGCTTCACAAAGGCTACGTCCCCACTGCCCTCGGCCAGGCACCTGCGGGGCAAGGAGCAAGGGCAGCCCAGGCAGAAAGTGAGAAGTAGGGGCCCCACACGACCCAGGCGGGCAGGCCCTTTGGAACATGGGGGGCGGAGGGGTGGGGGGCTGAGACCTTGACCTGCCAGGCTGAACACCAAGGGCCCCTGATCTCTCTTGTGGGACCGGGCTGGGAGACAACCTACACACACGCACACACACTTCCACCAAAGGAACTCACCTGAGCAATCAGTGGGTGTGCATGCGAAGAACATGTGTGTGTGTGCATATGTGTGTGAGCATTTCTGTGTCTGACACCTCCACAGGTGGGTAAAAGAGGCCCCCCAGAAAAGCCTCTGGTCTCACTTGGGATCACCTGAGTCCAGGTTTTGCAGAGACAAAGCACTACTTTGGGTGGAGACCAGGGGGTCAGTGGGGAAGGGGGGGAGAAGGACCCTGTCCATCCCTTTTAAGGACTTGTCAGAGTGGGAAACCTTAGAGAAGACAATGATGCTGGGGAAAATGGAAGGAAAAAGGAAGAGGGGCCGACCAAGGGAAACAGGGATGGATGGCATCCTTGAAGAGACTGGCTTGACCTTGAAGGAGCTGGGGGTGGTGACGGCTGACAGGGAGTTCTGGTGTGGGATGGTCCATGAGGTCACGAAGAGCCGGAAACGACTGAACAAATGAACAACAACAGAATGGGGGGACGGGACTCTTCACCCTACTTCCTCACCTTCCCATTTCCTCCCACCCACCCCTCTATCCATCTGTCCATCCATTCTGGAGGGGGGGGGTCTCTGAAGTGTGGGGGGTGGCCTACAGGTCCATCTCATTGCAGTGCTTTGCAGCTTGTACCCAGAATTGTGGGCCACCAGGTGGGGGAGTGGGAGGGGGGGGGCAGGGGAGAGAAAGTCTCCTTTCTCCCTGCAATGGAGGAATCCAACCTTGGTCCCCCACCCATTTTGTCAGAGCCCCTGCCCCACCCACCCCCCAAGTCCAGAGCCCTTGGGTGCCTTCTTCTTGGACTCCTTGGAAGGGCCCCATGAGGGCCACCCAGCAATGGCCATGCTCTAAAAGGGGTGCAAGGCTGGAGAGGGCTGTGGGCAGTGTGTGGGGGGGGGGGGGCTTGGAAGGGTACCCCACACTTTTGGGGAAGGCTCTTCTGCACACAGACACCCCTCCATGTATTACAACAGTAGGGAGCCCCATGCTGCACAAAGAGTTTGCAGAAGGGGAAGCCCCCGAGGGAGGAAGGACAGAGGAAGGAAGCGGTGGGCCGGGCCCCCTCCTCTGGGCTGCTCACCTGAAGGCCCCCCCATAGCCGTAGTAGCGCTCCTGGCTGTTGGCCTCGCACTTGTGGCGCCCTTCTTGGTCTCCGGCACAAGCTTGGCACAGGTTGGGTGGGTAGCCCTCCAGGTCATCTGTGGGGATGCAGCTGGCGGAGAAGAAAGTGCTCACGGCTGGGGGGGGGGGATTGGTGGGTCAGGGCCAAGAGGGTGGGAGGTTCACCTGCGCCATGCCCCTCCTCCCTTCACCACAAAGGCCCCTGGGGAGGCCCTACTCTCGGTCCTGCCTTTGTCACAAGTACGTCTGGCGGGGACGAGAGACAGGGCCTTCTCGGTGGTGGCCCCTCGGCTATGGAACAACCTCCCTAGGGAGATCAGACCAGCTTCTTCCCTTTTAACATTTCGGGAAAAACTCAAGACATGGGTTTTCAAGCAAGCGCTTGCAAATACAGAGTAGCTGACATAGGACAATGGAACAACTATAGGATGGGACTGGACGATGTTTTCAATACGAAATTACTCATAACTCATGTTTCATTGCTGTTGTTATGATTTTATGGCATTGGATTTTGCCTTGTAAACCGCCTCGAGTTGCCATAAGGCTGAGAGAGGTGGTATACCAATATACTAAATAAATAAAATATAATGAATGGAGGGAGGTTTGGAGGCCAGCCTGGCCGAGCAGGGGGTGGCCCCCATGGGCATCGTCATCATCATCCCAGTTGCAAGGGGAGCATCACCCCCCCCCCAAAGTGCATGTGCGTGCTCAGAGGCGCCCTGTGGCCCCAGAGGGCAGCCCCCCTGCTGAACCCCCCCCCCCACTTACCCTGGAGGGCGCTGCACCCGCGCGGCTGGAGGAGTCCCTTGGCAAGGAGGAGCCCCACCGGGAGGACCCACCCGGCCCGGCGCCCGAAGCCCGTGTGGCAGGACCTCTTGCCCTGGAGCTCGTGGACGGTGAACGCCCCGCTCCCACCGCTCGCCCTCCGCACCACGGCCACCGCGTAGTAGCTGCTGCTGGAATCCTCCTCTGGGAAGAAGGGGGCAGGAAGGCACATCACGAAGGGGGGGCCTGGGGGGGGCTTCTCTTGGCAATGGGGGGAGGGGGGACACCTGGTGGGAGGGGGCTCCCCCTGGAGGTGGGGTGGGCGACACAGGCTGAAGGGCCCCAGGGACACTCTGGTTGTCACCCTCCCTTGCTCAAGGGCTCTCCATCCACTGTGGTCAGGAAGGAGAAGGAAGGAAGGAAGGAAGGAAGGAAGGAAGGAAGGAAGGAAGGGGAAGGAAGGAAGGAAGGAAGGAAGGAAGGAAGGAAGGAAGGAAGGAAGGAGGAAAGAAGGAAGGAAAGAAAGGAAGGAAGAAAGAAGGAAGGAAGGAAGGAAGGAAGGAAGGAAGGAAGGAAGGAAGGAAGGAAAGAAGGAAAGAAGGAAGGAAAGAAAGAAGAAGAAAGAAGAAAGAAGAAAGAAGAAAGAAAGAAAGAAAGAGGAAGGAAGGAAGGAAGGAAGGAAAGAAGGAAAGAAGAGGAGAAGGAAAGAGGAAGAAAGAAAGAAGGAAAGGAAGGAGGAAGAGGAGAAGGAAGGAAGGAAGGAAGGAAGAGGAAGAAGGAAGGAAGAAAGGAAGGAAGGAAGGAGGAAGGAAGGAAAGAAGGAAGGAAGGAAGAAGAAGGAAGGAAAGAAGAAAGGAAGAGGGAGAGGAAGGAAGGAAGGAAGGAAGGAAGGAAAGAAGGAAGAAGAAAGAAAGAAAGAAAGAAGGAAGGAAGGAAAGGAGGAAGGAAGGAAGGAAGGAGGAAGGAAGGAAGGAAAGGAAGGAAAGAAAGAAGAAGGAAGGAAAGAAAGAAAGAGAAGGAAGGAAGGAAGGAGGAAGGAAAGGAAGAAGGAAGGAAGAAGGAGAGGAAGGAAGGAAGGAAGGAAGGAGGAAGGAAGGAAGGAAGGAAGGAAGGAAGGAAGGAAGGAAGGGAGGAGGAAGGACTACTTTTCCTTTTCTGACAGGATCTGAAGCAATGGTGGGTGGGCAGGCTACTAAGAGAGGCTACCAATGTAATATCATATATTGTACATACATATACAATACTAGTAATAATGCTTCTGGTTGCTTATTCCATCAGCCCACTTCAGTTGGGATTAAATGTTTACTTGGAAGCTTTCTATTGTATTTATATTTGGATTGTTCAATTGATATGTCTTGTTTCTTACTGTCTGCTTAAATTGATATGCTAATTGTTTAAATTGATAGGTCATGTTTATTATTTTATTTTATTTATTTATTTACACTATTTGTATCCTGCCTATATCAGCCCGAAGGCGACTTTATATGTGTAATGGGCTTTGTAGGCCACGGTCTCTAAGCTGCCCTGAGTCCCTCACTGGGGTGAGAAGGGACGGGTATACATGTATTATTATTGTTGTTATTATTATTATTATTATTATTATTATTATTATTATTATTATCTACATGTAATATTACTAAGATTACAATATAATGGTATAATACAATATAGTAATATTTAATACTGATATTGTACTATGCTAATAATGTAATATATTGTATGTATATATATCTTGTAAGCCGCTCTGAGTCCCCTTCAGGGTGAGAAGGGCGGCATATAAATATAGTATATGTTTTATATTACATGTAATATTACTAATAATATTACAATATAATGGTATAGCACAATAAAGTAATATATAATACTGATATTGTGCTATGCTAATAATATAATATATTATATGTATATATATCTTGTAAGCTGCCCTGAGTCCCCTTCGGGGTGAGAAAGGTGGAGTATAAATGTATTATTATTATTATTATTATTATTATTATTATTATTATTATTATATTACATGTAATATTACTAATAATATTACAATATAATGGTATAGTACAATAAAGTAATATATAATACTGATATTGTGCTATGCTAATAATATAATATATTATATGTATATATATCTTGTAAGCTGCCCTGAGTCCCCTTCGGGGTGAGAAAGGTGGAGTATAAATGTATTATTATTATTATTATTATTATTATTATTATTATTATTATATTACATGTAATATTACTAATAATATTACAATATAATGGTATAGCACAATAAAGTAATATATAATACTGATATTGTGCTCTGCTAATAATATAATATATTATATGTATATATATCTTGTAAGCTGCCCTGAGTCCCCTTCGGGGTGAGAAAGGTGGAGTATAAATGTATTATTATTATTATTATTATTATTATTATTATTATTATTATTATTATTTTACATGTAATATTACTAATAATATTACGATATAATGGTATAGTACAATAAAGTAATATATAATACTGATATTGTGCTCTGCTAATAATATAATATATTATATGTATATATATCTTGTAAGCTGCCCTGAGTCCTCTTCGGGGTGAGAAAGGTGGAGTATAAATGTATTATTATTATTATTATTATTATTATTATTATTATTATTATTATTATTATATTACATGTAATATTACTAATAATATTACAATATAATGGTATAGTACAATAAAGTAATATATACCGTATATTCCGGCATATAAGACGACTGGGCGTATAAGACGACCCCCAAGTTTTCCAGTTAAAATATAGAGTTAAGATGACTCCCATGCATAAGACTACACCCACATATAAGACGACCCCTGACTTTTGAGAAGATTTTCTTGGGTTAAAAAGTAGTCTTATACGCCAGAATATACTGTAATACTGATATTGTGCTATGCTAATAATATAATATATTGTCTCCAGCTCTCAATGAGTAGTTAGCCTAGATAGATTGGACGGAGGGATTCCTCACTCCAATTTCCTCCCTAGGAAGCTTATCTTAAGAAGGGGTTTAGAAGGGGGTTGTCTTACTCATCTTTGCATGCCACTATCTCCTCCCCTTTTGAATACTTAGCAATGTGATCTCTTCAGGGAAAAACGTAGCTTCCTCTTTAATGGTATTTTTATTGCCCTGGCAAAGCCATGTGCTCAGAGTTGTCCATATTGGCCTTTCTCGCCTCCTTTTGCCTTCTCCAGAGTGAGGAGGCATCTCCTCTGACCTCACCTCTGAGGATGCTTGCCACAGATGCAGGCGAAACGTCAGGAGAAATGCATCTAGAACATGGCCCTATAGCCCGGAAAAACCCACAAGAACTGAGCATCTCCCCATTGTCTAGGGCAAGATGTAGCAGACATGGCTACTTTGATGATTTCCCCTTTCCCCTTTCCTTAGAACAGGGGTCCTCAAACTTTGTAAACTGAGAGCCAGGTCACAGTCTCTCAAACTATTGGAGGGCCAGATTATAATGTGGGGGGAAAACATGAATGAATTCCTATGCACACAGCACATGTCTTATTTGGGAGGGAGGGAGGGAGGCTCTGCGGTGGTGGCTGGCTCTCTCCCTGCCCTCCCTCCCTCGCTGACCACTTCCAGAGAGCCCCCAGGGAGCGGCTGCCCGTCCCGGAGACAAGGGCCGGCTTGTCTGTCTCACCTGCGTAGGCTTCTCCTGCGGCCGGAACCAAGCCGTGGACCCGCCCGGCTGTGTACACCTCCTCTGCCAGCAGTGTCACGGCGTCCAGGGCCCTTCTCTGTAGGACACACCAGGACACAGCATGAGGGAGGGCACGACCCCTCTCCTGCATGCTTGTGCCGCAAAGGAGGCCTGGGGGGGGGGTCAAGCAGTCCGGTCCCACCCACCCCCCTGCCCCCTGAGGTCGAACCCTGCCCCTCTCTCCCTCCCAGAGCCCAGTTCTTGCTCCGGGACCCGAGTGGGCTGCCCCCCTCCCTCCCCCCCAGCCACAGGGAGACCCCTTCCCCGGAGACCCCTCCAAGGTCATGTGGCCACTCGCAGGACTGCATGGAGTGCCCTTACCTTCCCATCGGAGCAGTACCTAGTGCTCTGCTCACATTTGCATGTTTTCAAACTGCTAGGTTGGCAGGAGCGGGGCTAACAGCAGGAGCTCACCCCATCCCACAGATTCAAATTGTCAACCTTTCAGTCAGCAGGAGCCCCCAGTGGCGCAGTGGGTTAAACCCCTGTGCCGGCAGGACCAACAGGTCACAGATTTGAATCCAGGCAGAGCGCAGATGAGCTTCCTCTGTCAGCTCCAGCTCCCCACACAGGGACATGAGAGAAGCCTCCCACAAGGATGATAAAAATATCAAAACATCTGGGCATCCCCTGGGCAACGTCCCTGCAGATGGCCAATTCTCTCACACCAGAAGCGACTTGCAGTTTCTCAAGTCGCTCCTGACACAACAAAAAAAAATGTCAGCAGGTTCAGCAGCTCAGCATCCAAACCTGCAGGGCAGACTGGGAGGAAGGCAGGCCCGCCTTGCCTTGGCCTTGGGATAGTCCTGCAGCTTCAGGTTGCTGTCCCCAAGTGACCCCACTTGGACCCTCCCCCGGAGTTCCCTCAGAGGAGAGTGGCCGTGGTCTTCCTTGTGAGCGAAGAGAGAACACGACTGGCTGAGGGTCCTCTGGCGGTTTGCCAATGGCCGAGCAGGGATTCGGACACCCTCCCCCCTCGGTCTGCAGAGTGGGAGCCCCCTGTGGAAACCCCTATCCCCATGTGGGACCCAGAAGGGGCCTGCCTGGAAGGCCATTCCCGATCCCACAGGTTCCCCTCTGCAACCACAGGTGCCCCCCCCCCCCGCTCCCGCTTTGGTCCAAGGTGCAGCCAGAGGCGCAAAGTGAGGGGAGTTGCCCCCACCTGGATCTGCTCCACGCACTGCCCGCGGGACTCGGCCGAGACGCACTGGAGGCCTGGCCGGAGACCTCTCTGCTTGAAGGCGGACGCCATAGCACTGCACTTATGCACCTCCGCCAGGGACACCACGCACCACCGAAGGGACTCCGGCAAGCCTGCAACCGGGAGAAGAGAGAAGAGAGAAGAGAGGAGGGCTGTGGTTTCCAAAAAGCATAATTTGAGTGAGATTGTAGGAAAGGCGTAGCAATGCAGCTTCATTAAGCTGAAGATACCATTCTAAGGAATGAGGCCTGGAAAACTACAAGAAACAGGTGAAGAACTCATGGACCGTCATTAAAAATGGATGATGATTTATTTATTTTATTTGTAGTGTCAGGACAACTAGTCAATTATATTACATTTCTAACAGAACAAAGCAAACAAACAGACAAAATACAAAATTTGTGAGTTTGGTAGTTGATTAAATGTCCTTTGAGGAGTATCCGGCCACTTGGAGTGCCTCTGGTGTCGCTGCAAAAAGGTCCTCCCTTGTGCATCATGCGGCAGGACTCAGGGTGCATTGCAGCAGGGGGTCACTGGTTTGCTCTTCTCCACACTCACATGTCATGGACTCCACTTTGTGGCCCCATTTCTTAAGATTGGCTCTGCATCTTGTGGTGCCCGAGCGCAGTCTGTTCAGCGCCTTCCAAGTCACCCCATCTTCTGTGTGACCAGGGGGGAGTCTCTCATTGGGTATCAGGTTCTGGGTTTGAGCCTGCCACTTTTGGACTCTCGCTTGCTGGGGTGTTCCAGCGAGTGTCTCTGTAGATCTTAGAAAACTATTTCTTGATTTAAATCGTTGACATGCTGGCTGATACCCAAACCAGGGATGAGCTGGAGATGTCTCTGCCTTGGTCCTTTCACTATTGGCTGCTACTTCCCGGCGGATGTCAGGTGGTGAAATACTGGCTAAGCAGTGTAATTTCTCCAGTTGGACGCAGACACCCCGTGATAATGCGGCATGTCTCGTTAAGAGCCACATCCACTGTTTTAGTGTGGTGAGATGTGTTCCACACTGGGCATGCATACTCAGCAGCAGAGTAGCATAGCGCAAGGGCAGATGTCTTCACTGTGTCTGGTTGTGATCCCCAGGGTGTGCCAGTCAGCTTTCGTATGATATTGTTTCTAGCACCCACTTTTTGCTTGATGTTCAGGCAGTGCTTCTTGTAGGTCAGGGTACGGTCCAGAGTGACTCCCAGGTATTTGGGTGTGTGCAATGCTCCAGTGGGATTCCTTCCCAGGTAATCCTCAGAGCTCGGGATGCTTCTCTGTTCTTGAGATGAAAGGCACATGTCTGTGTTTTAGATGGATTAGGGATCAGCTGGTTTTCCCTGTAATAGGCAGTAAGAGCACCTAGAGCTTCGGAAAACTTCTGTTCTACCATCTCAAAGCTCCCTGATTGAGCAGTTATGGCATGATCATCAGCATAGATGAAACAGAGAAGCACCCCTTCTGGCAGTGGCTGGTCATTTGTGTAGATGTTGAACATGGATGGAGTGAGCACGCTCCCCTGAGGCAGGCCGTTCTTCTGTTTTTTCTGATGATGATGAACTGCTGACATTGCTGACTTGATGAACTCTTGGTGGAAAAACTACTTGTTTCCATTGCCAAAGACAAGGGCTCTTTTAAGTAAAGCAGAATAAAAGAACCTATTTCATGTTTTGAAAAGTACTTATGGCAGAGGAGGAGGTGCCTGGGCTGCCCAGAAGTTTTGCAGTTTGGGGGCTCTTTTGCACAAAACCTTCCCCCTTCTCTGCTGGAGGTGCTGACCACCGAGGCCTCACAATGCCCGCCACAATTGGTGCCGAGTGAGCCCCAAAGGGTGAGTTGGGGCTGTTTCTCAGAGCAGGGAAAAGGGTTTGCTGATGGCCGGCCAGCGGGGTTCTGGAGTGGTCTATATTTATTGATTAGGGTCAATGGCCAGTGCCGAAGAAGGAACACACGTCAGAATAGAAACATAGACGCTTAGGTGTTGAGAAACACTGTGGAAAGCAAAGCTGAAACCCAGGATCAAATATGATCATTAAAGCAGTACTAAACATTTACATGCCAAGATGACCATGGTCAATATGGAAATCAATCAATATTCAGACCTTCTGAGAGGGCGAGAGTATCTTCAGCCAATGAGTGATTGCTGCTGCACAAAAGCTTTTTGGGGTGTTGGCCAGCCCCAAAAAGAGAATCATCATTGTTGGGTTTAATCCCTGACCGCACAAGTCTCCAGCGCTCAATAAGTAGTTTGCCTAGATCAGTGGTTCTCAACCTGGGGGTCGCCAGGGAGTGTCAGAGGGGTCACCAAAGACCATCAGAAAACACAGTATTTTCTTTTGGTCATGGGGGTTCTGTGTGGGAAGTTTGGTCCAATTCGATTGTTGGTGGGGCAGGTGGAGGAAGACCCCCGCGGGCAGGGCAGAGAGGCTGGGGGGGGGGGGACAGAGCCCAATGAAATTGGCACTTGACTGCGACCCCTCCCCACAGGGAAGGAAGAAAGGAGGGCGGGAGGGGCTGATGCCCACTCCCTAATACCCCTCCCCCCCCACTCACCATGAGGTCCACATTCCTGGGCAGTGATGGCCCGGAGGAAGGCCTCTCCCCCCCAGGCCTGGTAGCTCTGCTGGGCGGTGTGGATGGGCACCAGCTCCACGGTGGAGTCACGGAAGAGCAGGTCCTGCCCCCCAAATGGCTCCGAGGAGAACATCTGGAAGACCGAGGGGGACGAGGAGGAGGGTCCCCCGCCAAAGATTTGCTGCAGGAACAACGGGGGGGGGGGGGAGAGAGGGGAGAGACATGTATGTAGGCCTCTGTCTGCAGGAACCCCCTCCCCAACTAGGAGGGGAGGGGGGTGCCGGGAGGGAAAGAGAGGAACCCCACAGCTCACCTGCCCCCGCAGCAGGAGCCCCGCCACCAGCCCCGCGTCCACTTCGGGCCGAGTGACCACAGTGTGGGCAGGGACGCGAGCCCAGTGGCAACGCTGCCAGTCCTCAATGGGCGCCCGGCTCCCATCGAGGCAGAGCAGCTCCAAGTCCGACGTCCGAATGCCCTGCGCCCACTCAGGAACTGGATCTGGCCCTGAAGGAGGAGGAGGAGAAAGAGGGGAGGGGGAGGGTCCCTGTGAGGCCATGTCCCCAGAGGAGGAGGAGGAAGAAGGTGGGGAGGCACCCCAACCTCCGAGAGCAGGCACGGGGAAAACTACGGCCCGCGGGCCAGGTGCGACCCCTCGGACTCTTTCCCCTGGCCCCCCAGTCAGGCGAGTGCCTGGAGTTCTGCCCACCCGTCTGCCACGCCCTCCTCTCAGGAAGCCCCCTCTCTCATGTCTGCTCCCTATGTAAATAAGTTTGCAATTAAGGTCTCCAGGGACCCCCCTGGGGAGAGGAATCGGGAAATGCAGGGGGGGGGAGTGTCCTACCTTGCAAGGCATTTAGGACGGTGCTGTGCTTGAGGAAGGCCACCTCACCTGCATGCTCCACCAGGCACCTGAATGAGAAAGAGGGGAGGGGGCGGGAGGTCAAGAGTGTCAGAATAGTTGTAGTTATTTCACATGTATGTTTTTCAATGTGTTTGTATTAGCATTGCAATGTATTAGTATTGTATTTTAAAGATGGATTCAGTCATGTTCATTTATTGTTCAGTTCACATATGTTATTGTTACAAAGTTACAGGCCAGACAGTGAAACTGTGATAACACAAAATTCCTTTGCCCTGAGAAAACTAGGGAGTGTACCAGCCAAGAACATGGTCGGCCTCATTCCTCCAAGTATCTTGTCCACATCCTCGGGTTTCACCAATTGAAATGAATCCATCAAAATAGGACAAGCAGGTGCTCCTGCTACATCCACAGAGACTGCATTTAACATGGCGTCCAGACCAGAACGGATCAAAGCGACTTTGTCTGCAAAGAACTGAGCAAAAGCTTCACAGCGAGAAGTCGAGTTGTCAGGGTTCCCACCTTGGGTGGTGGGGTTCAAAAGGCCTCTGACAATTCGGAACAGCTCAGCCGGACGGTTCTTTGCAGACGCAATAGTGGCCGCAAAGAAAGCCTTCTTTGCGGCTTTTATTGCCGCAGCATATGCCCTCAAAAAGGACACAAACCATGATTGCTTATTAGTTATTAATGGAAATGTGTGATTTAATTGTCATTGTTTATTAACTACTGCTGTTTTTATTGTCTTTGCTGTTTGGAAACCGCTGTGAGTCGCCCTCGGGCTTGAGATACAGTGGTATACAAGAATAGTAAATAAATAAATAAATAAATAAATAAATAAATAGATAAGACAGAAAGGGCAGATCTCTCGTTTGCTGTGTGTTTTCTTGCTATGCTTTGTTTCGTCGCCATTTTTTATTCTCATCATGTAGTCGTTTGTATATAGACGCTTCTAGTAAAAGCTACCTTGAAAGTTAAGAAGAATGCTGTTTGAGTCTGTTTATTTTGAAACCTCACGCTTGCTGTGCCGAGACTGGAGAGTCTAACTCTGACAAAGAGGAAGACTCCAAGGAGCCCTCCCCTTCCCCCTCAATGCCCCCTCCTCACCTGAGTGCGCCCAGTTCCCCAAAGTAGGGCTCTTCGGGCCCCTCCTGGCAAGATGTGCCCCCTGCGCCGGACCCCTTGCATAGCGCGCACAGTGTGGCCCGGAATCCTGTGCCCCCCGCCCCTGGGACACAGCTGGCCCCAAAGAAGGATGCCGCCGCTAAAGGGGAGAGAGAGAGGTGGGAGGAACAGGGGTGAACGGGGAAGAGGCAGAGAGACCCCTCCCCCAGTGAGGGTCACCCCCGCTCCACCTGGATGGTCCTGACCTTGGGGCAGGTCACATCCCGGAGCGGACATCCTTCCGGAGGCAAGGAGGATACCAAGCGGGACACGCCACCCGGCCGTGTGGTTGAGACCTGAGTGGCAGCTGCGAGACCCCCGCAGACCCCGTGAAGACAGCCCCGAGCCCCTCTGCACCACGCCACTGCCCAGTAAGAGGCCCCCGCACCTGGCAAGGAAGGAAGGAGGAAGGAGTGACTAAGAACTTCACATAGCAACACCCCTCCCCTGCCCTGCAGAGAACCCAGCCCCCCCCCCCCCAGCCCCTGACCTTGTCCATAGGACTCAGCGACCACCGGCTTCAGGGCAAAGTCCCTCCCGGCCTCGAGCAGCAGCGCCCCCTCCACGGACACCGCATCTGCCAAGCCGTCCTGGAAGGAGGAAGAGGAAAATGAGAGGGGAAGAGGAAGGAAGGAAAGGGGGCAAGGGAGGCGCAGGGGGAACTTCAGCCCTCCCTCCCTCTCTCTAGGTGTTTTGGACTTCAACTCCGGGATTGTGGCGCAGCTGGCTGAGTGTCAACTGCATTAAGATCACTCTGACCAAAAGGTCATGAGTTCGAAGCCAGCCCGGGTTGGAGTGGGTTTCCAACCAATTGTGTGTAGCCTGTTGTCGGCCTTTGCAACCTGAAAGACAGTTGCATCTGTCAAGTAGGAAAATTAGGTACCACCTTAAAGTGTGGGGAGGCTAAATTAACTGATTTATGAGGCCATAAAGAAAACTCCAGCAAAGCATTCCAGCGGGGAAGCATGTGGGGAATGTGGAAGTGCTTCATCAGCGTCGCAGATGGACGATGAAAGCGACAGCTCCCCTGCCGGCCAGAAAAAGTTAAATAGCCTCTGTGTATGTCTGTATATGTTGTATTGAATGTTTGCCATATATGTGTACACTGTAAATAATGAGTCCCCTGCGGAGTGAGAAGGGCGGAATATAAATGCTGTAAATAATAATAAATAAATAAACTCCCACCATTCCTCACAGCCCCAGGCCCCTTCCTTTTCCCCCTCAGCCATGTAAACTCCCTGCTTGAGCGGTGATGGCAAGATCATCAGCATAGATTAAATTCCCCCTAAGGAAGAAATAGATCAATTTGGGCCCTCCAGGTGTTTTGGACTCCAACTCCTACCATTCCTCACAGCCTCAGGCCCCTTCCTTTCCCCCTTCAGCCACTTAAGCTCCCTACTTGAGCAGGTGATGGCATGATCGTCAGCATAGATGAAATTCTCCCTAAGGAAGAAATAGATCAATTTGGGCCCTCCAGGTGTTTTGGACTCCAACTCCCACCATTCCTCACAGCCTCAGGCCCCTTCCTTTCCCCCTTCAGCCACTTAAGCTCCCTGCTTGAGCGGTGATGGCACAATCATCAGCATAGATGAAATTCTCCCTAAGGAAGAAATAGATCAATTTGGGCCCTCCAGGTGTTTTGGACTCCAACTCCCACCATTCCTCACAGCCTCAGGCCCCTTCCTTTCCCCCTTCAGCCACTTAAGCTCCCTGCTTGAGCGGTGATGGCACAATCATCAGCATAGATGAAATTCTCCCTAAGGAAGAAATAGATGAACTTGGGCCCTCCAGGTGTTTTGGACTCCAACTCCTACCATTCCTCACAGCCTCAGGCCCCTTCCTTTTCCCCCTCAATTACTTAAGCTCCCTACTTGAGCGGTGATGGCACAATCGTCAGCATAGATGAAATTCCCCCTAAGGAAGAAATAGATCAACTTGGGCCTTCCCTCCAGGTGTTTTGGACTCCAACTCCCACCATTCCTCACAGCCTCAGCCCCCTTCCTTTCCCTCCTCAGCCGCTTAAGGCCCAAGACCCCCTTGTGAACCCCCCCCCCCCCCGAGTTTTCCTTCCTTGGTCAAGAAGTTCTCTGGAGGTCCACCTTCTCCTTCCTTCTGGGGATGAGAAAGTGTGGCTGGGCCAAGGCCAGGTGGGGGGTTTCAGGGCTGAGCAGGGGGGATTCGAACCCAGGGCTCCCCCAGCCTCCACGGACCGTGACTTCTCCTGTCACTCAAGTCCCCTCCCTCCCCCCTCCTTGGCAACCTTTGCCCCTTTCCAGGGAGGGAGGGCCCTCGCTGAAGACTTGAAGGAAGTTACCGGAGGGAAGTTGCCACCTGGACTTTGCCCACCTTGCCTGGCCTGGCCTCTCCACGTCCTCCAGCAGCCCTTCCGTGGCAACTGCCCGCCCCCCCCCCCGCCTGGTGCACATTCCCCCCCCCCCCTCTCTCTGTGGAGGACCAGTCCAAGATTTTTAAAATTTTGTTATTTCATATCAAAAGCATTGCATAAATCAGTATAAAACTGATAAAAATAGAAGGTGCGTAGGCAGCTAAATATCTTTTGACCTATAAACGGGCAACAGCGACAGCATTGTCTGTAGCCTCCAACAAGCCTTCCTCTGAGCATGAGGCAGGGCGTAGTGGACAAGCACACAGATGCGGAGTTGTCTGTCCTGCTCCACAGTCACACAAGGTGGGGGATTCTTCTAGGTCGTGCCATTTTGCCAGGTGGTCTTTGGATCTGCCCACTCAGAGTCTGTTCAGGGACTTCCACGTTGGCCATTCTTGGTTTGCCCTAGAGGAAGACCCTCTCTTGGGGGGCCATCCAGTTGGGGTTTCCTGGTTTAGCAGCCCAGAGGGATGCGCTTGCTGTTGCTGGGGGGACGCCAAGAGAAGTGGTCGTTCTCATAAAGCTTTGTCTTGATTTGTGTCTACGGGGAGGAGGCTGGTAGCCATGTAGTGGATGATGGCTTTCACAGGGTTCTAGGTTTAAAACATCCTGTGATTATTCTGCATGTTTCATTCAATGAGAGTTTATCAAGAGGTGTAGGTTGAAGACATCCTGTGATTATTCTGCATGTTTCATTCAATGAGAGTTCCCAGGTGACTTTCCATTTCCTGGTGGCTTCACGGTTGGGTAGGTGGAAAGCACGCACTTGTGTCTTGGTAGGGTTAGGCTTCAGGCATTGGGTCAGGTGGGGGTGGTGGGCAGGGATCCTCCTTGGGGGGGGGGGGCTACCAGGTTCAGTACTTGACTCCTTGGATTCATGGCGAGGTCTGTTCCTGCAATGCTCCAAGAGGCTTCTCTCTCCACCTGATCTGCTCCATTGCTTATGACTTTGGGTGTTTCTCAGGGCCTGGGATTGACACCCAAGGGCCACAAAGGTAGGCCTGGGCACACTTGGGCCTCCCCTCCCTCCCTCCAGATGTTTTGGACTGCAACTCCCACAACAACTCCTAAGAGCTGGTAGGCTGCTCAGAATGGTGGGAGTCCAAAACACCTGGAGGGAGGGAGGGTCCAGGTGTGCCCAGGCATCTCCTTGCAAAGGCGTCACCTGCGTGGTGTCCTCCTAGAATCCTGGAGTGGGAAGAGACCTGGAGGACCATCATCCAGCCCAACCCCATTCTGCCCAAGAGTAGGAAAATTGCCTTCAAAGCCCCCCTCACAGATGGCCGTCCAGCCTCTGCTTCAAAGCCTCCAAAAGGCGTCACCTGCGTGGTGTCCTCCTAGAATCCTGGAGTGGGAAGAGACCTGAAGGGCCATCATCCAGCCCAACCCCATTCTGCCAAGAGTAGGGAAATCGCCTTCAAAGCCCCCCTGACAGATGGCCGTCCAGCCTCTGCTTCAAAGCCTCCAAAGAAGGCAGGGAGGGAGGGAGGGAAGGAGGGTCGCCCTTCCTTCGGCTCCTGGCCCAGGCCCCTCTTCCGGGAGCCCCCGAGCACGCCCCCCCCGAAGCCCACCTGCCTGGCTTCAGCCCCCCCCCCCCGAAATTCTCAGGGTGGTCCGCAAAAAGGCCTTCCTGGTGCATTATTTAAACTGTTATGATGATTCATATCATGATCTGATCACCATACTCAATATATCCCATATGCATGGGGGGGGGTATTATTGGGGTCACGATACAAAAGGTTTGCTAGGGTAGACCCACTTTCACTCAGACTCACCCCCCCGAACCTCAACCCCCCCCGAAACCCCCCTGAAAAAAATTCACCCCCCCCCCCCCCCGAAACGAAATCCTGGCTACGGGCCTGGTGCCAGCATCTGCAGGGCCATAGCCAGAAAAAAATTTCGGGGAGGGTTGACAATTTGGGGGGGGGTGAAAATTTCGGGGGGGTTGAAAATTTTGGGGAGGGTTGAAAATTTGGGGGGGGTTGAAACCTGCCTCCTAGCTCACGCTGAAGCAAAGAGCACAGCAGGGGGCAGAGCATCCTTCAATAGCCTGCAGCTCCACCCCTGTCAACCACCTCCACCAAGTCTGGCCTCCTTAATGAGAGCATTCAACACCCCTCCCCCCCAACTTGGTTGCTTCACTACATCGGCTATTGCTGCAAGTAATGAGAGTGTGAATAAATTGTCAATATTTGCTTGAGATAGTGCTTACAGTTCTGGAGGGACTCTTAATTTTTTGCATCTCATAGACTTAGCAGCATGGGGATTGGGTTAACCAGTTAAAATTCATGAGTAAACCAGTTTTTTAAAAAATCTGAAACATTTCGGGGGGGGCTGAACCCCTAAAACCACCCCCTCGCTACAGGCCTGGAAAGCTCCCTCCCTCCTCCTCCCCCCACATCAAAGGAATGCGTCCTACTCACGCGGATGGCGGCAAGGCAATCCCGGGCGGAGGCGGCGCGGAAGCAGGCGAGTCCCGGCCGGAGCGTGGCCCCCGCGAAGGCCTTACCCATGGCGCTGCACTTGGACAGCTCCGCCTCGGAGGCCGTGCACCAGCGGAGGGGGTCCAGGGCCAGCCCTGCCGGGGGGGGGGAAGGGGAGGGGTTAGAGGGTCACGGACAAGCCAGAGAGGGAGGGGAGCAAATGGCCCGCCCCCCCAAAAGGAAGGAAGGAAGGAGAGGGGAGGAAAGGGAGGAGGGAGGGAAGGAAGATGGAAGGAAGGAAGGAAGGGAAGGGAGAGAGAAGGAAGAAAGAAAAAGAAGGAAGGAAGGGAAGGAAGGGAGAAAGAGGGAGAGGGGGAGGAAAGGAAGAAGAAGGAAGGTGAGGAGGAGGGAGGGAGGGAGGAAAGATGGAAGGAAGGAAGAAAGGAGGAAGGAAGGAAGGAAGGAAGGAAGGAGGAAGAAAAAGAAGGGGAAAGGGTGGAAGGGAAGGGAAAAGAGGGAGAGAGGGGAAGGGGAAAGGAGGAAGGAAGGAGAGGGAGGAGGGAGGGGGAGGAAAGAGGAAGGAAGGAAGGAAGGAAGAAAAAGAAGGAAGGGGGAAGGGAAGGAGAAAGAGGGAGAGAGGGAGGGAGGAAAGGAGGAAGGAAGGAAGGAAGGAAGGAAGGAAGGAAGGAGGAAGGAAGGAAGGAAGGAAGGAAGGAAGGAAGGAAGGAAGGAAGGGAAGGAAGGAGAAAGGGAAGGAAGGAGGAA